AGGATTTAAACAATAGAGTATCTGATGGTGTCACTGTCTGTGAAACCTGCCTTTTCTCATATGGTTACATCTGCGTAGTGATTAAAATCAGATTTAACTATCAAGCAGATTTTAGTGTTTAGTGGCATTGCTGTACGGGTTAATTGGCCTTTGTACCTCAAGTAATCAGGGTTAAATACTTGTGATATAAGGTTATGTTTTCCCTATAATTGTTTATGTATTGTAACATTGACTGTTTTGTGTTCATTATAGCGAGTTCCTGGGGAAAACCCCAGGTTCTAGCGTTCAGAGATGGTTACCTTCTCGACGCACTAGACGAGATGCCAACTCCTCCAACGAGAAAGGGCAAAATGATGCAATCTTCAGGAAAGTGAGAGGGTATGTTTCCATTCAAATCCATATTAAGCTGATCAAGATAGAACATTTCAAATGAGATTAGTTGAATTGATGTTGTATATTGTCTGTGAATGTTTGTTTTTTTAAGCTCTTGTCCTTCCTCTTCATTAGCATACTTAATAAGCTGACTCCTGAGAAGTTTGACAAACTATGCCTGGAGCTCCTCAATGTGGGTGTAGATTCCAAACTTGTCTTAAAAGGAATCATCTTGTTGGTGAGTATTCTCTTTTACTGCCCTTAGATTGACTCATAACCCATTAAAATAGGCACTTCATTTGTAATTTTCTTTTTCTCTTACTTTAGATTGTTGACAAAGCCCTCGAAGAGCCCAAGTATAGCCAGTTATACGCTCAACTATGTCTACGCCTGGCAGAGGATGCACCAAACTTTGAAGACCCATCAACAGAAACTCAAGAAAAACAAAAGCAGAATACCGTAAGAGTATTTTTATTTTTTATTTTTTTCCCTCAACATTTGGATTGCACAACAATATTGGCTAACTTTCTGGTATTTTGTGTTTTCCAGACCTTCAGAAGGCTTCTGATTTCCAAGCTTCAGGATGAGTTTGAGAACCGTGCCAGAAATGTTGAAAGTAGGGGAATTAATTTTATACATGTGGTCAGTTACAAAATACATTTGGTCATGTGTTTAATTGTTCCATATTTTAAATTGTTCTTGTTTTTCCCCCTGTAGTCTTTGAAAAAGATGACCGCCCACTCACCTCTGAGGAGGAGGAGCAGCGTGCTATTGCAAAGATCAAGATGCTGGGCAACATCAAATTCATTGGGGAACTTGGAAAACTCAACCTTATCCACGAATCTATCCTTCATAAGTGCATCAAAACAGTACGTTCTGTTAAATAAAATGTGTTTAGGTGTCACTGAACTATGTTGTGTTCTTAGAGGGTTTGTTAGTCCTTCTGGAGAAAGAGAGCAATGTCTCATTCACAGGCTGTCAAATACCTCTGCTTTTGATGAGCACAACCTGCTGGGACTCGCACCAAGCCACTTGGTTTTTCATGTGCCGTAACCCAAAGCGTCGGTATTTGACAACTTGGGAATGTGACTAAACATAAATTATCTTTCTCCATGATGACCGACCCGATCTTCAATTTGTGTGATCCCTAAATCGGCTTAAAGTGCCGTTCTGAAAGCATCCCAACAATTAAATGTCCTCAGTCACCTCAACATTTTTGGAAGCAATCAAAGTAAATTGTATTGAATATTTCTCTTTTCTTTTTAAGCTTTTGGATAAGAAGAAGAGAGTCCAACTCAAGGATATGGGTGAAGATTTGGAATGCCTCTGTCAGATAATGAAAACAGTGGGACCTAAACTTGATCATGAAAAGGCTAGGGTGAGTATGTGGAGAACACGCAAATACTTGTCTTGTCTTAAATTCCCCTTGTTCCATTTACTAACATACATTCTCTTTCCAGTCTTTGATGAATCAGTACTTTGGTCGCATGCACTCCTTAACAACCAACAAGGAGCTGCCAGCTAGGATTCGTTTCCTGCTCCAGAATACAGTGGAGCTGCGGGAGAACAACTGGTCTCCTCGCAAAGCTCATGTTGACAACGGACCAAAGACAATCAACCAAGTTCGTCAGGATGCAGTAAAGGTTAGTCTGCTTGGTCCACTTTGGGATGATCGGTCTGCTTAATAATAATAATAATAATAATAATAATGGGGTTCAGGTCTAGTAGTGCACATGCTTAAATTTTGACTGTGTTGCAGGACTTGGGTGTTTTTATTCCACCTGCAAACGATGGTATGCGGAATGAATTCTTCATGGAAAACTCCTCCTTCTTGCCAACAAGGATCAAGTTTGACAGGGAAACTCTCGGTGGGCTGGCTGATATGTTTGGACAAATGCCTGGTATGTCGCGAGCGATAAAGAGATTGTTACACTACTGCCATGACACTAAGTATCGATCCCCTCTAGCAACGTTTTAATGTTTTGTCGTCTTGTTTTATGTAGGAAGCGGCATCGGCACAGGGCCAGGGGTCATTCAGGACCACTATTCCCCTACCATGGGACGTCACCGCACAAACCCGCTCTACAATGGCCATATTGCGAACGGCAACGGTTCACACCAGCCTCAGTTTGAAGCGGGAAGCAAACCATTCATAAAACCAAACCAGGTACATGGAGTACATCTACAGTGTAATTAAGTACTTTGTAATGGTAAATTCATTGTCTTCATTGCTAAATCTGTGAAATGTGTTTTTTATTTTTTAAAGGGGCAGAATTCACCAGTTTTCAACCACAAACAGAATCACTCGGTGCAGATGCAGTCCAAGGATATGGCTCCACGTTTCAGCAAGAAGGGCAAGGTCAATGCTGATGAGGTACAACCACTTGCAGTTATAAACTAAGATTATGATTGTCTTTGCTTTTTGAGTTTTGTATGTTGGAGTAGTCTGGGCTCCATTTTAAATAAATCCTATTGTTTCTGCTGGATTATGTTTAATACCTTCAGTCATGAAATGTGGAGTAATATGTGTGCGGTATTTTATTTTTTGTTGTCTTCCCCCCTTCAGATCAGTCTGAGGCCAGCACAGTCGTTCATCTTGAATAAAAAACAAGTGCCGAAGCTGCAGCCACAGATGACTGTGATTCCTTCCCAAGGTTCCCCACTAGGACAGGTAACATTTTTTACTTACTTTACTTAAAACAAGCTGTTAAACTGGTAATTCCAGGCAACATGTATTAATTTGGATTTCTTTGTTTAGTCTCCGCAGCTCGGCCTGAAAATCAACCCTCCTCCTATTCAGGAAAAACCTGCAAAGTCCAATAAAAAGGCTCCTCCTACAAAGGAAGAGTTGCGCAAAATGACAGTAAGTTTGTCATACTCTGTGCTTCCTTCATGCACAATATACTGTGTGTCTAGCAAACAATATCTGAATGTACTTTCCTTTTGTAGGAGACCTTGGTGGCAGATTACCTGAACAACAAGAACATTGACGAGGCAGTGAATGCTGCGAGGGAGATGAAGGCTCCAAAACACTTTTTGTCTGAGATGCTGAACAAGATTGTGGTCTACTCCCTTGATCGTTCAGATGAGGACAAGGAACATGCAAGCACCCTGATCCATGCGCTCTGCACTGAGGGCATTGTCACTGGTGAAAACCTAATGCAGGTCAGTGTTGTAGTTTAAAAATAAAAATCAGAATATAAAATACTGAGACTATGTTTTTGCTATCTGAATATCGATATGTAACTGTTCTGATTTATTTGACAGGCCTTTTTGGGTGTTCTGGACCAGTGTCCTAAGATCGAGGAAGAAGTCCCACTGGTGAAGTCCTACCTGGCACAGTTTGCAGCTCGCGCCATCATTGCTGACTTGGTCAGCATTGCAGATTTGGCTCACCAGCTGGAGAATGGTGCACATTTCCCATTGTTCTTGCTCTGCTTGCAGCAGATGGTCAAACTGAAGGACCGTGATTGGCTGGCTGACCTGTTCCAGCAGAGCAAGGTCAACATGCAGAAGATGCTACCTGGTATGTCTGAACCCACTCTGACATATTTATACCGCATGTCATTCATTTCAATGAAGCCGTTCTAAGAAAAGTTTTCATTTCTAAATATCAATCTGTTGCTGCTACTGATGGGTATGTTTTTCTCCTCCTTTAGAAATTGACCAAAACAAGGACAGGATGCTGGAGATTCTGGAGGGCAAAGGCCTCAGCTTTTTGTTCCCCCTCATGAAACTGGAGAAGGAGCTTCTGAAACAGATCAAAGTAGACCCGTCTCCACAGTCCATCTACAAGTGGATCAAAGACAACATCTCTCCTAAACTCCACACCGACAAAGGCTTTGTCAACATTCTCATGACCAGGTACGGCAGTGAACAATGTTTCTAACGATCAGCCAATACTGTGTTGGTTAATCTAACCCTCAACAATAGATTTGGATATTCAAGTATTTCATATTGATTGTCTTCTTGCCTGCCAGTTTCCTGCAGTACATTGCTTATGAGATCAACCCCGACGATGATGAAGAGCAGCTCGCGGCACCCAGCAAAGAGCAGCTGGATGACGAGAAGCAACTGCTGCTGTCTTTCAAGCCAGTGATGCAGAAGTTCCTACACGATCACATCGACCTGCAAGTCAGTGCGATGTACGCCCTGCAGGTCCACTGCAATGCCAAGGGTTTCCCCAAAGGTACGTACACGCACTTGTTCAGTACAGCAGCTTTAACCCCAAGTGAGAAAAGGTATTAACGGTTCTTTTTGTCCTTCTAGGCATGCTGCTGCGCTACTTTGTAAACTTTTATGACATGGAAATAATTGAAGAAGAAGCCTTCCTTTCATGGAAAGAAGATGTCACCCAGGAGTATCCAGGGAAGGGAAAAGCATTATTTCAGGTAATTTTATGTACATTAATGCATCCCACTTGTGTTGAACTCCCATATAATTGGTTTGCTCAAAATAACTGAACCTAATGGTGATACTGTGTTTTTAATGGTGCAGGTGAACCAGTGGCTGACCTGGCTGGAGACTGCAGAAGAAGAGGAGTCAGAGGGTGAAGATTACTGAGGAACAGGCTAAAGCCATGTGTTATCAGGATGCAATGAAAGATTTTTTTCTTTAACTTTTTTTTTTCGTCCTCATAATATGCCCCTTCCTCTCTCAACCCAACTCTTTCCCTCTTCCTCTTGTTTATAAATATTTTCCAACCACTGTTACACTTCATTCCACTATGAAATGTTTGCCAGATCAAGCCAGCATCATCACCATCTTATATTTATGCTTTCCTTTTCTGATTATCAATCTTATTTGATGTCCTACAGCAGTTTTATACATTTCAATCATCCTGGGTTATGTTCTTTAACAGTAGGCAGTATTGTGCAGGAAACTGTGCCAGCACCGAAACCTGACCCATTTTATCACCTTTTACATCTGGTAGGAGTCACCAAGTGCTGCCATAACGATTAACTTAAAAACTGTTTACAAAAGAGAAGAGACTCTAACATATTGCAAAGAGAATTTTCTCATTGTTTTATCTACATTTGTTAATCAGTTTTTAGATGCACTTTGCTCAACATCATGAGTCGTTGCAATAGTAACATACACTTTCCTCGATTTGTTTAAACAATCCTAAGTTGCTGTTTTGTGCTGCCATGATTATAATTTTCTTGTGCTTGAAAGCAGACCATTGTGTCTGAAAATTCATAATAATCTGGATTTGATGATGTCTAACAATAATGGCCTGTTTTGTTTGCACAGTGTGATTTCAGTTACCATTTAGTCTAATGAATCAGGAGCTTTTTTTTTTTTATGTACAAAACTTCTGTGCTGTTAGGAATGAATCTGTGTGGCCTTTTTAATTTATCAATTCATATGGATATACCTCTAATGTATCTCGGACTATACTTGAATGTCTCGGTTTTAACATTGAGACAGCCAAAGCTTAGTTTCCTGTGCTACAGTTGTTCACCATGTGTGGAAATTTTACGTCAGTTTGCCATATTTGTCAAGTTTTTAAATGGTCTTTTTATCTTCATGAAATTATAAAGAATGCACTGTATATGTACACTTAAACCTTCTTTTGGAGTGTCACTGTAATGTTATATACAGGAAGTTTGAGTGTACAACTACAGATCAACCTTGAATAAAGTTTAACGGTTCATTTCATTGTCTTGACGATTTCTTTCCCCTAAATTTGTTGTTTTTACTTGCCCATCTTGAAAAATTTAATAAAGGTGCCATTTAAAAGCTATACATTTTTATTCCTAAAATCACTTGTTTTGGGGTGGATGATCTGCCATTTGGTGACACCTAACAGATGGGCTGACTGTCGATGAGACTGCACATTTCTAAAATGTATGCAACAAGAAATGCAACTCATGATTTTTAGATTACTCAAGCCTACCTAACCAGACTAAAGACAGCAGAGAAGCTGCTTGGCTCCAAATAAGTGCAGGAAATTGAGGTGCTCATTTAAACTTTGGAACCAAAATGACTAAACACTGCGTAACATCTTGTCAGTATGTACTGAGATAGTGACACTTGATACCAATCTAGCTTTTGGAGGACTTCTGTGAGCTACAATACAGACTATTTCTGATTGAGATCCATATTACTGTTATATAAAGGGATGCTAACTTGTTTAAACTTCCTAACAAATGGCCAATTATGACAACTTTCAATAAGTTGAAGACTGAAATCAATACACGTATCAGCTTTAAGGTTATGTTTGCAGTTAAGTTATACAAGAAATTGTAAAAATGTTAAGGACACCCTGATTTAAGTTTGCTGCTGAAGTGTTTTTACTAAACAAAGTTAGAAGAATGGACACAAGAAGAATCATAATCAGCAAAAATCAAAGTTGACAGCATTTTCTATTTGCTCCAGAATGAAATACAGAAGCAGAGGATCCACATCTTACACAATTCTTTGTTCTCTCTTTTCAATTTGACATTTTGTTGAAGCATCTTTCCATTTTTGTGTCAGTGTCTGACCATGTGAGATAGAAAATAGAGGTTTTACACCTTTTTAGTTCACTTCAAATTCATGTTTAACAAAACTGCATCTGTGAAGACAATTCCACACCAGGAGTGAGGAATACACCATAATGCTGTGCCCAAAAAAACAAAACAAAACAACCTACAACCTCTTCTAGGCTAACTCCAAGATATACGGACAGAAATCCCTGCTTTTAATAGAAAATAAGAAACGCAAATGTGGAGAGTTTTGTCATCATTACGCGGGACGAGTCTGTGAGGAAGATTTAATCGCTGTCGTCCTCATTGTTGGAGCCTTCAGGTTCAGAGGCGTTGTCAGAGCGGCGCGGGGAGCCCTCGTTGTCTGATCCCGCTTCCGATGCCCTGTCTGATCCTCGGTCAGACGCCGCAACGGGCGAACCGCGCCGTGACTCGTCATCTGATCCCGACCGACTCCTCTTGCTCTCGTTGTCTGACTGCTCTGAGTCGGACTGCCGCTGCACCCTCCTCTTCTTCACTGGACGGTCGCTGCCTGAGTCGTCATCCTCTGAGACCGAGTGCCGAGGGCTGCCCGCTGGGCTGCCCGCCGGGCTGCCCACAGGGCTGCCCGCCTCGCTGCCAGAGCGGTTCCTTTCTCCATCTGACTCGCTGTCGGACACAATGCGCTTCCTGTGTCCTCCGCCCTCTTCATCGGACCCCGAGCCGCTGTCTCTTTGGTGTCTGTATGAGAGAAAGTTTTCTGTTGATCTAGTAATGCTCTCAGCACTTATTTCAGTGCAAAAAAAGTTTATACTTTATACCTGTCTTCAGCTATTTTCAACCCATCCTCATCTGAAGAGGACTCAGAAGACGAGATGATGGCCTTAGACTTGATCTTTCCTTTAAGAGACGGTGGCAGACGCTCAGGCTGGGACTAAAAAGGAGAAAAATTTACAGAACTTAGGCCTGGCAACATATTTCAGAAGGACTTAAGGAACATTAACCACGATATAAGAACAGAAGCCAAGAAAACTCAAAAGACCTTTTCAATCCTCTTGCGTTCTTTGGGTTTACGTTGCTTCTTGGGTCGTGATCCTCCTTCCTCATCATCACTGTCATTTCCTCCTCTGGCAGGTCTAAAATGCAGGGCAACATTTACTCTGAGTATCTTATGTGACTTGTTCAGCAGTGATAAATAAACCACAGTGCAGCAGACTCACCTCCTCCTCTTCTTGCGCGACTTCTTCTCTCCGTCCTCGCCCTCCTCCTGCTCACTGCCACTGCCGCCCTTCCTTTTCTTCTTCTTCCTCAGTGGCAGGTCCTCGTCAGAGTCATCGTTGACGAACTCATCCATGTCTCCTTTCTTGCGCTTAGAGATGAAGAAAAGAAGTATTTATCCACTGCATTCAGTGCAGCTTAAGAGTCTGTTAATGAGTCTCCTATCAGTGCTAACACTCACACGTCCACCACCACTGCCTCCCTTCTTCTTTTCTTTCGCCATTTCCTTTGATCCCTCTGCGAAGGTGAGCAGGTTCTTGGTCTTCTCCACGTACAGAGCTCTCTGCTCCAGGAGCTTTTTCTGTTCCTCCACCTCTCTGCTCCGCTTTGCCTCCTAATGAATTTTAAAGGGGGACAAGCCAACCAATTAACGAGAAGCCTTTTTTTGTAGCTTAAAATAAAAACCTAGTCATGGTGAGCTGCTACCAAAAAGTTTTTACAGTTCCAAAAACTGTGGGAGCGCCATAAGTACCTGTTCTTTCATCATCTGCTGACGCAGCAGGTCCCTCTCCTGTTCTTGTTTGGCCCGAAGCTCCTTCTCCTCCTCATCCTGCTTTCTGGCTCTCGCCACATGGTACTGAGCCTGACTCAGCAGGTCAGAGCACTGCCTGCAATCCCACAATACACCCAAGCCCCAACTGATATTACAACCTGCACTAAATCAACACAACTCCAGCACAAGCCCCATGTAAAACATTACAATAAAATGTAGAGATGGAGCAATATACCAGCAAACTATTAATATCTGCTGATACTAGCTTTACAAAAACTACTTTTAGTGCCTGCATTGAGTGGGAAATTAGACTTTGTCAAAGTCAAAGAGTAATGTATGTTTTAATGTATTTAATTAAATTTAATAAACTTAAACTGCATTTGTAGTGAAAAACAAACCTACACACAGTTAGAAGACAATATGGGTGGAATAATAAAAAACATAAGTGGAATTATAGTTTGTATTTGTGTAGTTATTTCTGTTTCTTAAAAACAAACAAAACCACTCACTATTGTATTAATTACTATTCACTATTGTATTAAGCTGTGATGAGAGTAAATTGAGACTGACCTGGCCTCAGATGCAGCAAGGGCGAGGTCAAACCTCATCTTGTCTCCGGCCTTGCTGAGGTAACTGAAATACCTGGGAGAGGAGGAGGAGGAAGAGGGAAATGAAACTGCTGGATTAGGCACAGGACAGCCCGGGGATCAGACTGGGAGGAGGAGGGCTAAATCAAGTTTAATTCCAGTACCTGTGAGCCAGTTCCAGCTCTTTGACAGCACTGAGTACAGCCTTCAGGTTGCTCTTCTCATCTTTCAGCACAAGAGTTGCCAGTCTCTGAAGCACCAGGGCCACGTTGAACATCAGCACCGTGTCGCTGGGAGCCACGTGGCGGGCCTTGTTGAAAAACACATCGGAAGAACAAAGTTATACTCCCACCTCATATTGTAGCATAAAATAAAAGCCTTTCATTTTCGCGTCTTGTTACCTTCAGCAGCATCTGCTTGCACTCTTGGAGTTTCCCACATTTGAAGAGCGCCCTTGCGAGGTACAGCAGCACCTCCGTGTTCTGATATTTGTAAAATTTCTTCAGGCAGTTCTCATACTGTGGAGCAAAATAAAACAATCAAAAAACATGAACAAAGACAACCATTTTTATAAGTAATCACAAGTGAGGCCCCTCACCATCTGCACAGCGCTGATGTACTGCTTCTGTTCGACGTAGATGTGAGCCAGGTTTAGCCAGACGTCACTGATGTCTGCTGTGGCCTCCCTCACCTGCGCAAACACGTCACGAGCCTCTCTGAAGTAGCCCTTGTGGGCCAGGACGGCACCTAGACACAAGACATGTATGTTTAATACTTCATACTCATACAATAGAACTATTTAAAATATTTTAAAAAAGAACGAATAAAGCTCAACCGACCGATGCCATTGGCGGCATAGAGGTTCTTGGAGTCATTTCTCAGGACTTGTTTGTATATCGCCAGGGCTCGATCCTGGTGTCTCTTTTCCTGTCAAGACAAAAAAACACGCTCTATTATTTCCCTTCACAC